ACTGTTGCTAAAATGCTTTCATCCTAAATTCTAGCTCTTTCTCCTTATGCTTCATTTGCGTAACCAATATAAGAGTAACCACTAAAGTGATCCGGCGGTCAGACATGCAGAGGAAATGTTTTCGGTGTCATTAGGTTAAAAAGCGCTGCTGAAAGTCCTCTGATGTCATCGGTAAATCCTCTTCCTCACAGTTTGCTCAGCTGTGTTCAAAACTCCTGAAAACTGAATTTGAAGAGAACAGCTTTTGTGAAACTGGGTATCCAACATATGGGCCCCAGACAACAACTAATTAGTCTCAATTAGTCACAATTAAATGTTCAGGCGCTGAGCTGAGCCTCTGATCAACACAAACTTTTAACAACCTCAACAGAAGAAAGAAGTTTAAAGATGATCAGATTCCCAAAGAAATCAGGAGAGACGAGGCAGCAGGGCGAAAGTCAGAGAGGCTGCATGTGTCCTCTGAGAGGAACAAATCAAAACACAGCATCTATCCCTGAACACTTCCTCACAACCAACTCTTCATATAGGGAAGCTTGGTCCCTCGTCAAACGCTTCAAAATATGATAAACAAGGTGTCGTTTCAGCGTCAGCTCTTAAATGAAGAATGTGTGACTTTTTGATCCAGTAGGTGTCGCCCTTGAGTTCCAGCATGAAACCAAAACAAACTGCTGATAGACCACGCCTCCTCCATACTGAAGCCTCTGCCCTCCTCCAGCAAGACACCTCCAACCCCCCTCCACTCACATTCACACAAAGGAGTTTAGTGCAAGCGGCGGACAAAATTGTCCTCTGCTTGAGCTGCAAAAACCTGTTTCCTGTGTTAGCATGCTAATGTTAGCGCTCTTTAGTTAGCTCGTAGCTTCACATTGCATGTAAATTAACACAGGATGACCGTGATCTAAAAACTCTTACATGACATCCAAATAATCAGTGAGTATGTTCTTCTTCTTCTCTCTAGTTCTTGACTAAAACAGCTTTTATACTCAAGGGGAGGAGCCAGCCGTCCCGTCCATGTAAACACGGCTTTGAGTAGTGGTCACATGACTTTTTAAGTTAAGCTCTCTCTTGTTTGGTCTCCAGTAGTGTGTACATGAAGTTGGCGTCGTCCTCTCTTCTTCTTCTTCTTCTCTCTCTCAGTTTACTGTATCCTCTCCTTCTTCTCTCGCCCTCGCTCTCTTTCCCTCTCTCTCTCTCTCTCTCTCTCCGTCCTCGGGCCTGTGTGTCTCAGTCCATCCTTGCATGGAGATTGACTAGAGGCATGAATACATCACAGCTAGCCATCCATGCATCCTCCCCCCTCCTCACACTCGTGCCTCCCCCTCCTCCCCCTCCCCGTCGTCCCATTTCTCCAAGATCCCTCTCTCAGCACTTATCTCAAAGTTCGGATCTCATGCATTTTAATGGCCGTGTCTATCTTCTTCTTTTCTCCCCCTCTTCCTCTTTTCTTTGACTTTGGATCGGTGGCATCCTTCAAACAAACAACAACAACAACAATAACAAAACAACCTTCCTCCCCCCTGTCCTCCCCCTCCTCCTCCCCCTCAGCAGCTCCCTTTCCCCTTTTTAAAATCAATATTTGCCATCAGCGAATAAATCGTATAATTTCCTGACTGTTAGACGAGTGCGACGCCGACATATTTACCTTCAACTCGTCTGTTCTTTCGCTGTCGATCCCTCGTTCTCGCTGCTTGGCTATTAGCTAAGTGAAGGGGATGGATGGCCGTGAAGCGCAGAGCGATAGCATCTCCATCAGAATCGGCGACGTTGAAAAATGGCCGCCGCCTCTCTGATGACAGCACAGCACAAACACACACACACACACACACACACACACACACACACACACACACATATGTCCTCATACACACAGAGTCAGAGAAGAGACATTTAAATATTCAAATGGGACCAGGCAGTAATGATAAACGACAAGGGAAAAGTAGAATCAAGTAGCTATCGATGCAGAAAATGAAAAGAGGAGAAAGAAGAGGAGGAGGAGGAGGAGGAGGAGGGAAATTAAGCAAGAATAAGATGGAGGCATTGAAGAAGAGTTACGCTTACGGTGGAGGAGACAGATGGAGACAAAGATGGATGAATGAAACAAAAAGAAGAGGAAGTGATTTTACAGGAAAGACAATAAAGATGGAGACATTTTTAATCTCATATTTGAAAACAATGAAGGGAACACTTCAGTGGATGAGACAAAAGAAGTAAGACCCAAAACAAGAAATGAGAAAGAAAGTAAAAAACAAAGTACATTCACAAAGTGTCTAGTTAGTGTCTTTACTGGTCACGACGGGCGTCTGTGGCCAAGTGGTAGAGTCGGTCGTCTCTCAACTGGAAGGCCAGCTCCTGCAGCCACATATGGGATGTTTCTGATGTGCATCACGGACCCCTCGTCAGCGCTTTGACTGTTCCTGAATATTTACGAGTAGACGGGTTCAACTTGACTTCTAACAAATGTGACTTTTAGAGCAGATTATTCAAATGTTCAGTAGACTTAAAACTCTGTCGTATGTGGTGTTAAGACATCAAGTTGCAACGCGTTGTCATCGCACAAGATCTGAGATTTTCAATCCATTTGTGTTTTCTAAACGTTGGCCATGTTTAAAGATGATTGGGTAAATGTCCTCGAAGGAGTAACAGCAACCACTCCACCAAAATGTCACATTTGAGTCACCAAAATGTCACATTTAACTCAAATGCTGGGGTCGTTGGGTTTTGTCTGCTTAAAGCTTTTTTGTAGTTCTTGACCTGATTCATTTATCTATACCAAATTTCAAACATCTTGTTGAATGATTGGGCTCGCTTGTTGGAAGTATAATGGAGCCCTATTGTGCGGTGGCCGGTAGGTGCATAGGCTCGGCAACAGGTGAAATGACAAACATTTAAAGAAACATGCAGCATATTCAGAAGCGCTGCAAATTCAATAGCAAATGCAACGGCTGAAAACTGCAACTGCAAAAGACACAATGGTGCTGCCAAAAGCCAAAACAAGTCAAAAACACACATTCAAAAACAACTATAGTTAGAGAAACGCTGCAAGAAAGCTGAACGTTTCTCTAAATGTACCTACCAGCCACCGTACTATCGCTGTGCCCATGTGCAAGACTCTGCAGTCCTGATTTAATTTGTACCACTTAGGTCAAGATACAAGATACGACACATATTTTTAAATATCCAGTAGGCTTAGCCAATTAGTGTTCATACAGATTCATGAGGATGCGTATTTCAGTGTGTACAGTAATCATAAGTCATGAATAAACTCCAGCTCTCCAGCTCCCCCGACCTCAGCGCTCAGACAAAATCACTAAAAAAGAAGTAAGGAAAATATTCAGCAGCACTTGGCGGTACAAAATGGAGCATTTCTTTAAAATCTTTGTTAAAAAAGGGACTCTGCAGTGTGCCGTTGAGTTCTGCTGTGTTTGATTCCTGCTCGTCTGCAGAGCTGCAGAGCTGCGACAGGTTGAGCTTTAAAGTGGTCATAGACAGGCAGGGGGAGGAAATGTGCTGAAACCACCTCCACCTCAAACACTTCATCATCACGAGATGAGCTGCAAACAACAACAATATACAAAAAAAAGGATCGTTTTTTAAGCAATGCTCGACTGAAAAGCTTCTCTTTAGAGAATCAAAATACTCACCAGAGAAAAGTGAGAAGTTTGGGATTCCTGTGAAGACCCAGAGTTACGGCGAAACATTTACCAAAACATTAGAACAAAGCCGAACTCAACCATGTCTCTCTTTGTCAGAGACGGTTTGCAGCTCTTGAGTTGTTTTCTGGTGTGACGGTGAAATCGTACTGTGAAGGATCTCAAAGGGAGAGATCTTTTATGGATCTGAAACTGTATTGTCATCGGTTTCTTGCCGTCACTGTTGCAGGCAGAACAATCGTTCTGAAGTTTGAAGCTTTCATTGTCAAATTCAGAATTTTCTCTTTCCTAAGTCATCACATCTCCACTCCTTGGTATTTGTTAGGGTTGGGACTAATCAGAGACCATCAGAGAAACTGCTGTTAGAAAGACCAAGAACGTCTGTCAGACTGAAGGGAAGGGTCCATGGATGGGCCAGAAAACCAGATGTCATCTTGCCAACTTGACCTACAGACATGAAAGGAATCTGAGCCTTATTTTCTTTACCATTTGCTCATTCCTGTGAATATTAAAGGGGAAATATTCTGAAAAATCCACTTGTACAGTGTTTTTGAACATATATTTGGGTAACCTGAGTGTCTACAGACCCACAAAATGTGAAATAAACCCATCCTGTCCTTTGTTTGTGGTCTGCATAAGTCTTACAACACAGAGAAAAATGCTCTGTTTCGAATGTTCTCTCCTTGTGATGTCACAGTGGGATTTGGGTAAAAAAAAAATTCCCCTCCCCTCCCCTGGTATCTCCAACCATTGATTCCACGCCCAGCCTTGAACAGAACTTTTGAGCAGGTCCGCCATTTTTATTCTCGCTAGCAAAGGAGTGATGTCTACCAGGAAAACTCGGAGGGGCGCTCTGAGAGAGCTGGTTTATACATGGTCACAAACCTCCTCTGGTGCTTGATTCATGTTATATTCTGACCAAAGCACAACACAGATGTTTCATTTAGACCACAGGGGACTGTTTGAAAAGGTGGAGAAGTGGGATCATATGTCCTCTTTAAACATATCCCAATTAAAGCTTGGATGGGCAACGGTAATATTTGTTCAAATCATCTTTTAATCTAGACAATGATCCATTAAACAAATGCTCTGATGGAAAACACGAAATCTGGTATGTTTTGCAGCCACAGACTTGTAAGACACCTCCTCAATAATTTGATTCAGACAAAGTAAAACGATGAAACGTCTTATCTGCTTGTCTTCATTGCTACCTGTCTACCTCAGCTTGACAGGTAACTCTGACACCTAGTGTATAAAATGGGTACTACAGTTTAAATAAAAAAACAATGAAGCCGGGTTACATCTTTCCAGCTGTGTGATGTCTTCTGTCCTGTCGTCTGTCGTCTCCAGAGCAGCCACACTGAGCTGACCATGATGGAGGGAAAGAAGACCAGCCTGCTGGGCCGAGCCGAGTCCCTGAAGAGGAGCGGGACCGAGCTACCGGGAGACTTCCATCGCAAGATACACAACCTGACACACACGTGGAGACAGCTGGAGGTAAAACACACACATGTATACACACAAATACACAGGCGCATGTTTCAGAAATGACACACCGAGATGGAGATGGTATCTGGAGGATTACACTGAAATTTCTGTAGAGATGCGTGGGTGTTTGAGTAGTTGTGTCGGTATGTAGTGTGTGTGTGTGTGTGTGTGTGTGTGTGTGTGTGTGTGTGTGTGTGTGTGTGTGTGTGTGTGTGTGTGTGTGTGTGTGTGTGTGTGTGTGTGTGTGTGTGTCTAATTTTAGGCTAATCAGCGGTGATCTAATCTAGAACAAGAAAATGATGATAAGTGTCGTCTCAATTAACTCTGCTGCCACCGTGGCCTGTAACGGTTTAATGGATGGAAAGATTGATGGATGGATGATTTGATGGATGGATGGATGGATAGATGGATGGATGGATGGATGGATGGTTGGACGGATGGATGGATGGATGGATGGTTTGATGGATGGATGGTTGGATGGTTGGATGGATGGTTTGATGGATGGATGGATGGTTGGATGGATGGTTTGATGGATGGATGGATGGTTTGATGGATGGATGGTTTGATGGATGGATGGTTTGATGGTTTGATGGATGGATGGATGAACAGATGGATGGTTTGATGGATGGATGGTTTGATGGATGGATGGTTTGATGAATGGATGGGTGGTTTGATGGATGGTTTGATGGATGGATGGGTGGTTTGATGGATGGTTTGATGGATGGATGGATGGTTTGATGGATGGATGGTTTGATGGATGGATGGTTTGATGGATGGATGGTTTGATGGATGGATGGATGGTTTGATGGATGGATGGATGGTTTGATGGATGGATGGTTGGTTTGATGGATGGATGGTTTGATGGATGGATGGTTGGTTTGATGGATGGATGGTTTGATGGATGGATGGTTTGATGGATGGATGGTTTGATGGATGGATGGTTGGTTTGATGGATGGATGGTTTGATGGATGGATGGTTTGATGGATGGATGGTTTGATGGATGGATGGTTTGATGAATGGATGGATGGTTTGATGGATGGTTTGATGGATGGATGGTTTGATGGATGGATGGTTTGATGGATGGATGGTTTGATGGATGGATGGTTGGTTTGATGGATGGATGGTTTGATGGATGGTTGGTTTGATGGATGGTTGGTTTGATGGATGGATGGTTTGATGGATGGATGGTTGGTTTGATGGATGGATGGTTTGATGGATGGATGGTTTGATGGATGGATGGTTTGATGAATGGATGGATGGTTTGATGGATGGTTTGATGGATGGATGGTTGGTTTGATGGATGGATAGTTTGATGGATGGATGGTTGGTTTGATGGATGGATGGTTTGATGGATGGATGGTTTGATGGATGGATGGTTAGTTTGATGGATGGATGGTTTGATGGATGGTTTGATGGATGGTTTGATGGATGGATGGTTGGATGGTTTGATGGATGGTTTGATGGATGGATGGTTTGATGGATGGATGGTTGGATGGTTTGATGGATGGTTTGATGGATGGATTGATGAATAAAACGTTCTGTTGTCTTCTCAGTTGTTGTTGGATCTGGAGACATTTTGATTTCCACACATGGGGCGCACGCACTAACCACCATCGCCCCAGCATTCACATACTTCTTAAATGTTTTCTATCTTTACATCGTTGAATGACACTTGAACATCCCTCCTGCTGAGGTCTGAGTCTTCTTCTGCTTCAGCTCACCTGTGCAGGTAGCAGCACATTGCAATCTTATTTAAAGCTCTATTATATGATGTGTTCGTGTCGCACTGAGACGCTCCAGGATCAACGACTCTAGATCAGTGATGTCATCAAATCAAACACTTTGAAGTTCTTGTTTCCTGGTCCGGATTATGAAACCAGGCTAGATCCATGTCCATCTGAAGTCTGATGGTCTCCGACACGTCTTAAACACCTTCTCTTGGTGTTATTCATACGACAGTAGAAAGCGGCGTATTGTGCCTTGCTGATCGGCACGTCGGCAGCAGTTGATTGTCTTTACCCGGGCGTGGAGATTAATTCGAGGTCTGCAGGGGCGGTGACATCTGGCAGCGGCTCGTCAGGAGGCTGAGAAGTGACGAGGAGACTTTGTTCTTCTCAAGAAACAAACCGTCTCCCGTCGAGCGAGCAAGCGAGGGGCGCGCCGACGCGATGAGCTCGTTCACACAAACAGAGAGCGGCGGAGGAGCAAACGCCATCTGTGTCTCGCACGCCGACTCGAAGATATTGGAAGTGTGTATGCGTGTGTGCATTAACATATGTATCGTCGCTCGAACAGATTCCATTTTAGAAATTAAACAACAGCAACAGATGAGTCTCTCTCTCTCTCTCGCTTGCTCGCTCACTCTCTCCGTCGCCGCATGTGTTTCCGCCACAGTAATCAGACTGTGATTAAACTTCTATTACTGACAAAGAGACATTTGGACTCACAATACTTTCACACACAAACACACACACACACAGTGAGACATGAAACAAACTTTGTGTGTGTTTGTGTGTGTGTGTGTGTGTGTGTGTGTGTGTCACATCAGGGAGCAGAGGTATTGTGGGTAGTGATAGAAAGAGATTCCAGTGAGGCAGACACTTTTAATCTCCGTTAACCTGCTGGTGCTCTCTCTCTCTCTCACACTCTCTCACTCGCTCTTACTCTCTCTCTCAATCGTTTTTTCTCTCTCTCTCCCCATCTCTCTCTCCGTCTCCTTTTCTCTCGCTCTCTTTCTCTCTCTCGCTCTCTCCATTGCACTGTGGGGCTTAAAATGTGTCCTCACCCCTAAATCTAAGATCTTCTCATATCCAAAGGCATTTATATCCCGATCCTGCAGACGTGAAGTTTCAGGACTTTATGCCGTGTAGTGTTTCGACAGTCAAGGCCACATCTGGAACGCCTCTTAACCTCCGGACAGAAAGTCTAGCATGTTTGACTTTATTCTGCCTTCAATATTGTGCTGTGTCTCGTCAGTGATGTTGACCAATGAGAGCGAAGAGCGTTCTGCACATGCTAAAGTCACTAGCGAGAATCAAAATTGCGACGCGGAAGCAGAATGATGAAGTTGGTGCAGAGAGATGGATGTTTATACTTTGACAGAAAGTTCACGATTAATCAAAAGTCTCTCTTCTGTTTGTCCCGATCTTTCGCCCCTCCCTCCATCTCGCCGTCCGCTCCCCCAAACATGGCGTCTGAGTAGCATATTAACGGGCCGATCAGTGCTGGCGTCGGCATCTGCTGCTCTGACACAAATTGGGAATTAACTGGAATTGATGTCCTGTGCCTCGCCTCTGAACTGTCCTGGCCTTATGAAGAATTTATGACTAACACTTGGACACACACACACACACACACACACACACACACACTAAGACACACACACACACCTACGGCAATGAATGTTGATGAAAATAAAGAGGGTGTATATTAGCTTTTATCTTCTATGTTGTAGATTTTAGCAGCTTGTCGGTTTTAACAGCCGTTCAAGGTCAAACGTAGGAGAGGAGAGGAGAGGAGAGGAGAGGAGATGAGAGGAGGGAAGAAGAGGAGAGGAGAGGAGAGGGAAGGAGAGGAGAGGAGAGGGAAAACAAATTCTGGATAATTGAGTCCCTAAAAACTACAAACCATCTCTCTCTCTGTTTCATTTGCTCTGCTCCTCTCTCCATCTCTCTTATTTGCTCATTTTCGTTTTCAGTTTCGCTCTCTCCCTCTGGATTTGTCTCTCATTTGCTTCTTCCATTCTCATATTTATTTCCCTTCAATTGTCTCAGTTTCTCAGATTTCTCTTTTGTTCCTGCTTCTCTCCTTCTCCTCTCTCTCTTCTTTCCTTCTGTTTCTTTTCCTGAGCGGTAAGTGAAGATTTTTTAGAAGTTAGAGAACGATGCATGTTGGGAGATTCAAGCTGACTCTGATGACTGGAACAGTATTTTAAAGACGGATATTTGAGGCTTTTGATGAGCTCGTCGAGTCCACACGGTGTCACGTTTGCTCGGCTCTGTAGGAGATAAACACACTCCAGTTCAGCTCTTTTCTGTGCAGCGCGACCACCTGTGGAGAAAACGCATTCATCATCAACATATCAGGAAAAACAACGTTTGATTCTTTGTTTACAGGAATGTACTTCATGTGTCTTTAAATTATATCCCTGATGATAGCGTCCGGCCATAGCGCTCTCTCTCCTCTCCGTCACACTAACAGGCTCACAGCCTCTTCTTGTGATCACACAGCTAACTGCACATTTCAGCGGTTGGGGGGGGGGGGGGTCCTATAATCGTCCCTCTTCATCGTCTAATGGGCTGGTTTTTACCTGCCAGAGTTCAGCTAAAGTAGTGTTTCCGCTCAGGCGGGAGGGACGCTGTTAAAGCGACGACTCAATACCTTTTTATACAAACACATACATATGCAAATGAGCGGCAGGGACCCATGCGGGGCTCGATCAGGGAAGTTTCTGTTGTGGTGGCGGCTTGTTAAAGTCATGATGAGACCTGCAAGATAACAGCCGTCTGAACGAGGAGTTCTGAAGTCTTTGGATGATGATGTGATCAAACCAGCTATTAGAGGGGAACTGTTTGAGTTTGAGGTTGTGATTGTTGCACTTCTGGTATCAGGACAAACTTAATGCAAATTCCACAGTTTGAATCTCGCTCCTGAAATATGATGGGTCACTAGATAGAAAAGCCCGGCACACTCTGAAAGATTATTAAACCATGTTGAAAATGTGGGAGAGCTCACACATGATGACAGATCATGACGGATTGAACAGTTCGGTTCTGACTGTGTGCAGAGCAACGAGACGGCCGACCACATCACACTAACAGATTCATCCACCAACAACCAGTCTCCACTCTCACAGCTCGTCATCTCGCGCCGTCAATCATGACTTAACGAGAGTAAACAACGATGATGGTAAAGCTAAATGCGGCTAGCTGTTAGCTGATACTTTTAACAGGACATGATGTACAAACAGTCTCCAGAAATCAACAAGTTAGTTGTCCATTTTCTGTCCATCAATCTAACTTTGCTTCCTGCTTCAGTCAGCTTGCTTCCCGATTGGCTCTTCATCCACAGAGTGCATGCTCGACGGTCCTCGGTGTTATCCCCACACAACAGGATTTCTGATCATCAATATTTTTTACATTTTTTATGATGCACGATTTCAAATCGGGGTGGCCCTGATCGTTTTCCGAGCAGATCAGGGAAGGTAAAATAACTCTGAACACACTTCAACACCACAGGAACATCTGGAAAGAGATCATCTTTGGAACTATCAGGTAATCAAGCCTTTGCTGACGTTGGTCGGAAGCGGCGAATCAGGCATGAAATCAGCCCGATTATCTTTTAGTGTGTACCCCATTTAATCCAGCTCTCGACTCAGACACAGGAATATCTTCGATGACTGGATGATTTCCAACCCTTTGCTCCTCCTCAACCAGCTCAGAGATGGCCGACATGCCAAAAACCAAGGCTCAAAAATGTTGTTTCCAATCACCGTGGCTACGTCGGTCATTGATACAGTCTAAAGTTATGACAGTGCTGCTTTGAAGCAAGTGCTGATGTGTCGCGATCAGCAGAAGAAAATCAAAAGTTGGTTTGCTCGATATTGATGAACGCTTTTCTAGAAAGAAAAAAAAAACACACACTTGTCTAAAAAAGAAAAGGGAGGAATAGTCTCTCAGCGGCTCTCTGTGTCGTACTGTGTGATCAACAGGGGCTGGAAAATTACTCTGTAGAGCTGATCACACACACACACACACACACACACACACACGTTGTTCTCATTTGAAACAGTGATGGCTCTTCAGCGAACACTCTTTAGGTTTGTTTTGTGTCGAGGTGAATATCGGCTCTGGAGGTGAAGCTGCGAGAAGCTCGGAAATAGCAGCTGATGTGTGTGCACCTGGAAACACACACACACACACACACACACACACACACACACACACACACACACACACACACGCACGCACACACACACAGCTTTGTTCTTCAACAACAACAGCATTAGTTAGCAACATCAAGCTAATTCACAGTGGAAACAACAGCATTAGCAACACTGTGGAGAAAACATTTATAATACAGACTGAGGCATGCTGGGATTTTGGTATTTATCCAGAAATCTTGAATGTTGTTGAGCGAACAACTGCATTTCGCCAGAACTAAAAAAAGACCTTTCATTGCAATCAAAATCCAACAGCTCACCTCTTTATTTTTCCTTTCTTGTCGTCTTTCAGAAAATCCTCTCAGAGCACTCAAGACCGGGTCCTTCTGAGCGCTCCCAGTCAACCAACGTGAACTCTCTGCTGGTCGGCGGTCGAGGCGCGGCCGTGGAAAACCCTCGCTCGGCCCTCTCCCCGCTGACCAACTCGCTCCTGGAGCAGCTGGAGGCTCGCATCAAGGAGCTGAAGGCGTGGCTGCGAGACACCGAGCTGCTCATCTTCAACTCCTGCCTCAGACAGGACAAGGAGGCCGCCGAGCAGCTCCAGAGCTTCAAGGTAGGAGGAGGCGGAGTTTCAGGGAGGCTGTATGTCGATCTCGCTCGTATCGACACAAAGTTTATAGAACCGGTTTGGTAGAACGGTTGCTGTCAGAAGCCCAAACAACGCCCAGGTTTACATACAGCTTATCGAGATCATCGGGTGAAACTTCAGGCTGATATTCACATTTAGCATCACCTAACTTTTCTTCGCTAAGTTTTGTCATCAAAAGCTTTGGCCAATGAGCATTAAGCTGTAAGAAAGTGTTCCCCTTGCATGCATGTGTGTGTGTGTGTGTGTGCTGTTGCTAAGTATAGTAATACATCGTCTTAATGAGGCCAGATGAAAGCGGGGCTGTTTTGAAGCGATGGATGTATGGAGGAAACAGCAGTTAGCCTTAAAAGCAACGGGACGCTAACAGGATATTAATCAGCCTGCATCACACAGAGAACAGCTAGCTGCGCTGATTAGCCTAGCCCTGCCGTGTGACTGACATCTACACACACACACACACACACACACACACACACACACACACACACACACACACACACACACACACACACACACAGTAACACTGGTTAAATCGAGATGTATACAAAAAGCAGTGCATTAATTCATGGATGTATATGTGCCCACACACAAACACACATCAGTATTTTAAGTGAGTGACACATGCACACACACGCTCACAGACGCATAAATGAATTCATGTATAAGAATATATAGACGACACACAGAGAGCTCTCACACGAGCTGATGGAACGAGTCAAACTTTCACCAGACTCTGCACAGAAACTGAGATCATGATATTTATCAGTCTGTGCGGCCATCTTTGACGTGCAGATGGCTGTAATGTGTGTGCATGTCTGATTGTTGGTGGTATTTATTGACATGAACACCTTGGGTTTAATCCTGAAGAATGTCGTCGTATTGAAAATAAGGTTGTTTCGAGCAATTTTGTACGAATATTTGCCCGAAGTGAAGGAGTTCAAGTATCTCAAGGTCTTGTTTACATGTGAAGGTTAGATGCACTGTGAGTGACAGGCTGATTGGCTCAGTGTTGTACTGAACCGTTGATGTGCTGAAGAGGGAGCTGATCAAGAAGGCAAAGCTCTCGATTTACCGGTCAGTCATGAGCTTTGTGTTGTGACCGAAAGAGCGCGGATACAAGAAATTAAAGTTTCTTCCGGAGGGTGTCTGTCAGCCTTAGAGGTAGGATGAGGAGCTCAGACATTCAGGGGCGGAGCTTGGAGTAGAGCCGCTACTCCTTCACATCTGAAGGAGCCAGTTGAGGTGGTTTGTGCATCTGCTCAGGATCCTCCTGGACGTCTCCCTTTGGAGGCTTTCTGGGCACACCCAACTGGGAGGATACACCGGGACAGACCCAGAGTTCACTGGAGGGATTATATATCCCGTCTGGCCTGGGAACACCTCAGAATCCCTTTAGGAGGAGCTGGAAAACGTTGCTGGGGAGAGGGACGACCTCGGATAGAAAATGGATGGATGACAAATATTTAGATTAGATTCTGGTGTTTGACAATGACGATGTAGGATGAACAGAATCATTGACAGGTGTCATGTGGTCAGCATTGATATGAACCCTCATGCATCAGCTAACGATAATATGTTTGCACACACACACACACACACACACACACACACACACACACACACACACACACACACACACGCCGGCTGCCTGAATAATGGAAGTGAACAGAAAGGAGACTCTAAGTGAACAAAGTGAAGCCGAGCCGCTCGTACTTTTGATCCTTGTCACAGCTCTCCGTGGGAAGCCATTGATTTCTGGCAGAAAGAGGCCGTGAGCTTCTGGAGAAATGAAGATTGGAAATATTGATAGCAGTCATTTGTATGGAGAGAGTGAGAGAGAGAGCGAGAGAGAGAGTGAGAGAGAGAGCGAGAGAGAGAGTGAGAGAGAGAGCGAGAGAGCGAGCGAGCGACAGACAGACAGAGAGGGAGAGAGAGAGAGAGAGAGAGAGAGAGGCTAAATGGAGAGAAGTGGGTTCATTCTCAGAAGTTGGCTCCATTTTAGCGATCATTTGTCTGTTTTTGGCGTTGGGACTCGTAAATGGGTTCGATTTCAGCGCTGCAGCTTATTACTGTACGCCTGTATGAGAAAGCAGCGGGGATCAGCAGAGGTCACACGGGGCATGCACACACATATTTACAGACATGCATTTATAAAGACGCACACATACGTGAGGTTAGATTTAAACGTGTGCACGTAAGCGACAGCACGGACAAACTGTTGCACTGAACCTTGAGGCTCTTAAAAGTACTAAAATACACAAACACAAAAACACTCCACAAAGTTAAACCAGGGTCATTCAAGACTCAGGCCCCGTGTCCTCATAGCGTTTTCTTTCTAAACGCCAGAGGAGAGAGCATTCCCATCAAAAAGTGTCTTCCTCCTCCTCTTCCTCTTCAACCTCCTCTTCATCTTCCTCCTCCTCCTCCTCCTCCTCCTCCTCTCTCCCCCTCTCCTCGAGCGAGTCTGTCCGTAACCCTCATTAATTGAATTAGAGCTCCTTAAAGATACGGCGGGAGCCAGACATTCCTCCAGCAGGCCCTGGGCCTCCGATGACTCTGTATTGTTGTGGAGACGCTCTGGGGGCCGGAGAATTAATCGACAGAGCACACACACACACACACACACACACACACACACACACACAATCAGGTAAAGGCACACACCTCTGAGTGTGTGCTGGTGTGCATCACACACACTGACGGCTCTCTCGAGAAGGTGAAATGTTGTCTGTTGGTGGTTTTCTTCAGTCTTTTCTCTTTTTTGTTTAATCATTGCAGACGGATAAAACTAGTGTTATCCTACTAAAACCGGTCTTCTTCTCGAGACCACTTTTTGAAGGTCTCGGTCTCGTCTTGGAATCGAAAGCATTTTTACTCGGTCTTCTCTATGTGTCTGACTGGTTGGACTCCGTATTTTAAATACAGACAACCATTAATAGTCCAATTATCCACGTCATTACTGTGATTAGAAGGAAAAAGGCCCCTTTTACCAGAACAAATAACTTCAATTCATTAGTAGTAGATTTTTATCCCCTGGTTATGGCCGGCTCCTCCCCTTGTTCATAAAGCTGTTTTAGTCACGGACTAGAGAAAAGAAGAACATACTCACTGATTATTTGGATGTTAGTAAGCGTTTTTAGATCACGCTCATTCTGTGTTAGTTTACATTCAATGTGAAGCTACGAGCTAACTAAAGAGCGCTAACATTAGCATGCTAACACAACAACGCAGGACACAGGAGATTGAAGCTTGATAAAAGGACAATTTTGTCCGACGTTTGCGCTTTTCTCCTCTATGTGAACGCGAGGGGAGAGGGGTTGGAGGTGTGTCTCTGGGGGAGAGCGGAGGCTTCAATATGGAGGAGGTGTGGCCAAACAGCAGTTTGTTTTGGTTTGATGCTGGAGCTCAAGGGCGACACCTACTGGATCAAAAAGTCACACATTCTTCCTTCAATTAAAATAACAAATTATTTGTCCTCAAGAAAATTGAAATAATGTGCTTAAATTTGCAATTTGTTGTCCATGAACTGGATAAAGAATGTAGATTTAAAAGCAAAGTCAAGGTGGACGTACTTTAAACCTGCATTATATCTATGGCCAGCAGGGGGCGAGTCTAATTACATAAAGGTCTATGAGAAAACGAGCCTATACTTCTCAACTGATTTATTAACTCGGTAAACATTTTCCTAATGAGTTCATGGTCTCAATCACTTCTTTCAAATCATGTAAACAAAAAAAAATGTTAAAGAAAACTTTATTCAATTTAGAAATTAAAAACAATCCGCTCTGTTTTTCTAAATCAAAGTTGAATTTTTATTTTCTAAAGTCAACAGAGTGAGAGGAAGAGATTCTTCTCTTCTGTAAAAAAAAGGAAATGGAATCATGTTCAAAGTCTCCGTCCCTTCAGTCAGACGGACTCACGCTGTTAAAAGGCGACCTCTCCCTCCATCCATCCACACACACACACACACACACACACACTCACTGATGTGAGCATAGATTGTGGATATCAGTGTGAGCGTTTACTCGTTCTTCTGAAGTGAAGCTCAACAGACGGCCCTCCTCCGTCTCTCTATCAGCCGATCATCTCTCTTTGGTTTATCTATCTCTCTCGCTCTTTTTTATTTTTCATCTTTGTTCCGCGTCTGTGTGTCCGTCCTTTCCTCTGCACCTGTCGTCCTTCCTGCATCTCTCTCTCTCTCTCTCTCTCTCTCTCTCTCTCTTCTCTCTCTCCCCTGCTGGTGACAGTAGATGAACTCCTCCTCCCCCACTGTTTGTTACCCACGGCCGCCTCATCACCTGGACCCCCCCGGTCATGCTCTTTGCCCTCTGGGCATCATTTGTAACATGTTGACCCCCCTCCCTCGGTCATTTCTATTTTCAGCTCACCTTCCTCCTGCTGTTTGGAAGATTTGACCCAACATCCCCGCCCTCCCTCCACCATGGCTTTCTGCCCCGATCTTTTCTGTTTAATCCTCTGACAGTAGAGGTCTGAGAGTGAAACAACTGTACCACTGCCGTCAACCAACATCTTTCCAGTTGCCAGCAGGGGGCAATTCCACGTGTTGCAAAATGAGAAAGAAGACTGATTCCATAGAAGTCTATGGGAAACTGGTCCGACTTCTCCTTCCATTTATTCCCTCATTAAACATGTTCCAATGAGTTTATGGTCTCCATCTTTAGTTACAAGCAAGCAGAAACCTCCGGTGTTGAAAAATGAAGCTGATGCTGAAGTGTAAAATCCTGCAGTTCCTCGAGTGTCCACTAGAGGCTGGCTGCAGAAGCACAGGAAGTCACATACACACCCATTCTAAAAAGCCTGTTTTTACAGCAGAGATTAACATGTTTACAGCCTGGTTCAAAAAAACAAATAGGTGTGATTAGCTCATGTCTCGATCGACACACACTGTACGGGGGTGGGGAGGGGATTTTTGATGACTCATCCACAACTAAAACTACAGCCGC